AGCACTATGGTTTTTATGAGGGCGACCATCTTATAACTCCGCATAAAAACATCACACAATAATATGCAATGTGTGTCACTAGTTTACACACTTTCTCAACATTTTCTGTCCCAGACGCTCTTTTTACAGTCGATCCCGTATTGGGAAACGAATCATGTGCTAGCTATCGCTCTAGATCATTTATGAGAAGGCAGCTCTTTGTGACAAAAACAAAAAATACAGAATATAAGTACGTTCCTCAGTATAGTAAGAACACGCAGCCAGTCTAACTGTCTAAGACAGCCAACATCGCTCAAGTTTTCAGAAGAGTCAGAACTTCAATTAGGAATCTAGTGGTGAAGAGAATGTAAGATGCAATAGCATGCCTAATGCAATATACCCTATATGCTTACAAGCAATGCGATAAATATATATATACTAATATACAATACAATATAATATAATGACATGCAAGCAATCAAAGAATGCATATCCCTAAGGATTTCCTTAGAGAAAGAAATCTTTGAGCATCAAGGTTATGTGCTGGAACATATTTATGAACAATTAAATCATCATCAACCAAATTTCTAGTAGAGTGGCAACGCATGCTAGTACGCTTAAGAGAATGTTGAACAGAATATTTGGAAATATTAGCCGCACAAGTATAGTCATAGAAAAGGTCAATGGCTTGTACCTCAGTTCCAAATTTAAGAAAAATGTGCTTCATCCACACCTTTTCTGAACAACAAGTTCCAGCCACAAGGTTCTGATCGGTGTAAGAACATCCGTCAGACGTACTCCATTGATCAACGTCATTCACAGCCCTATCAGCATCACATTCTCTGACAATACCAGAACTTGTATCACATGAGTCAAAAGTCATATAATCAATGAAATAGCAATTATCATGCGATGTAGACCCTGTAAGAACACGATTATTAATCCTATCAGAAACCAAGCATTCATTCAAAGTGAAACTTACAGAGAATCCTTGATCACATAACTGACTCACACTCAGCAAATTGACATTCAAGTTCTCAACCAACAAAACATTATCAAGTTTAGGAAGACTAGGCATGTTCAAACATCCAATTCCTACTACCTTATTACTAACACCATTACCAAAAGTGATAGAACCAGAACCATTAGACACAGGTACAACATCAATCAAATTCGATTTAACACCCGTCATGTGCCTAGAACATCCACTACTAAAATACCAATCACGATTAGAAGCGGATTTTGAAGCAAACAGAGATGAAAGACAAGTATGATTCTTTTTGGGAACCCAAATTTTCTGTTGCTTATGATTCTTTACATCAACCTTCAATTTTGGTGTTTTGATTGGAACACCGGCGGGGCTCCAGTCATTTATCCTTCCTGCATGCAAATCATTAAGCATCCTATAGCATCTAGGACAAATATGACCAAGAACACCACAATAATGACAAGTAGGAATGAAATTTTTCACAAAACGTTTACGGTGTTCTTTCACAGAAACCTGATCAAACTTACCATCAGTGTTGGAACCTTCTTTCACAAAAGTTATAGAGGACTTACTCAGAGACGTGTTTGGTTCACCCACTTTACCTTTCAATTTCTGATTGGAAGAGTTCTTACTCTGGTCTGAACACGCAATCTGATGACTCAACCTTTGAACTTCAGCAAATGAGGACTTTGGCTTATTCATCATTTTGACAATCTCCTCACTCTTTCTGAGCTTTTGTTCCAAGGTTGAACAATGACTTCGAAGAGTCAAATGTTCTTCCATCACACGGCCGAGTTCCCCTTTATGAACAACAATTTCAGTTTCTCTTTCACCTACACGACTCTGCACAACAAACAACTCATTACGCAAGGATTCAATGGTAAATTTTTTTTCATCACTTGCCTGTTTGCTAAGTTTGTCTCCATGTTCCACCAATGCGAGCTTGGCAAGGCAACTGTTGAGATTCTTGTCTTGCATCCCAATGTGAAGATCGAATTTAATGAGCTTTTAGTTTAGATCAACGGTCATCACTCTCATCTTCTGGAGTTCAGCTTTGAGATAAACTATCTCTTTTTCACGTTCTGTTGACCGATGTTCCAACTGCTTCATCTTCACTTTCTGGGTTTGATACTTCTTAATGATTTTGGCAGCTTTGAGACACTTCTATATGGCATATTTGTGGAGTTCTAGGTTCTCCTCAGCAAGATCAGAGAACTCCTCAGGTTCAGCGTCGCTTAGGTTCTTTGCGTAAGAACCTGCATCAGATTCAATATCAGTAAGATGCACAGAGGATGTAAAGCAGTTATATTCACTAAGAAAACATTTAACAAAGTTATTGGAATAATGAGAATTTTCTGTCTTCTCATATTCTTCATCCTCCTCATCGCTGCAGTCGGACCACGTTGCCTTATAGACATTGTTCTTTCTCTTGAAGTTTGGACATTCCTTCTGAAAGTGACCGAACCCTTTGCATTCACGACACTGATCCCTTTCAACTCTTTGGTCGATGTTCTGAACCTTGTACTGTTGTACGATGGAACCTCGCTCACCAAGTTGCTGAGAAGTGTTCTTACCACCTTTAGAGGGCTTGTTTCCTTGAAACCTTATCTTCTGTAATTTCTTCAGCTTTGAGGCATTTTTAGTAAGAAAGGTAAGGGCCTTCGTGATCTCATTAGCATCAAAGGATTCTTCATCTGATTCTTCATCCTCTGCAACTGCAGTACGAACCTTGGCCTTTAAAGTTAGCCCTTTCCCTTTGCTTATCCTCATAGAGTCAAAGCCATGGTTGATTTCAAAGGTGCGAAGTTCGCTGAGAAGATCATCAATGCCAAGTTTCTGAATCCTCTGAAAACTTTCTAGTGCAGTAATTTTAATCCCAAACCTGTCCGGTAGAGTTCTCATCAGTTTCTGCACTTGTCTTGCTTCTGGAACCGGCTCACCAAGCATTGCACTTTGGTTAACCAGATCGCAGAACGAGCATAGTACATATCAATAGTTTATTTTTAATTTAAAATATAAAATATGATGAGTATTAGTGTATTACTAATTTGCCATTAAAATTATGTCAAAGTAAGGGTTTTTTAGGTTTATATGGTCAAAATTAATCCATGTTGCTAAAGTGGTATTTCATTTGACGTGAAAACAAATAGATTAAGTTTTAGTATTATACAATTTCATAAAACTGTTCTGATCTTATATAGCAAAGAATTTGAATAGATTAGAAGTTTAGGTTGCAGAACAATCATTCAACAATTAATCTCGCATACTATTACACAATTTTTATAGGTTTTTTTTTATAATAATTTTTTTGTGGTCATTATGAGAAAAAAAAAATATCGATTTCTAGTTATAAGTGTTTATTATACTTTTTTTGTTGCATCTATTTTAATTTCTTTAAAGAAATTTTATATATTAAAGTTATGAAATGTGATTACAGTATTTCAAATAATGACGTTTTTCAAAACAACAATTATATATCCTATCAAACAATGTGAAAGAAAACAAATTCGTGAGAAATAATGGTGCCAACATATTGTATAGTTGAATTTAGGAGTGTGGAATGATTTCATGTATTTGTTAGTAATTAATTTGTAAGAACATTGGTTTGGCATCATGTCCGACAATCCTAAGTGTTTCTAGAAGATTTCTTCTTAAGCAAGCAAAATAAATTAAAGGGAAGTTTTTCTATTTATTTACTTGTGATTTAATTAAGTTCCTAATATTTATTATTAACAATATATGGTATATATTTATTGTAGTATGTATTATGGAATCCTAATCCTTTAGGAGAAGGATTACATAATATATATCCTGTATATTTACTTACCATATATGCCACATGCCATAATTAGTTCTCTTTTTCTTGTAGGACAAGGAATAGGTGTCAAGGACTATGAAAGGATGAGCTTTCCATACAAGAAGAGTTCTGGACGTTCATGAGAAGATCTAAGGAGGATTTGGAAACATTCACCACAAGATCTTTGAAGATTTGGAAGATCGGCTATTTTTGGAAAATCATGTTCTTACCAGATTCTGGAAGGCAAGATTTCCATTAGAAGTTCAATTCTGAAAATCTCCAAATCACATGCACGAATTCCACATCAAAGAAACTTACCTTACATGAAGGATTTCGTCCAAATCAGAAAGCAATCAATTGAGAAGGAAATTGACTCATAAAAGGAAATGAAGAACTTGGAGAAAACTCCACCCTAAGGAGTTGTATATATACCCTGCTTGAAGATCGAAGATATGCTGCTGAAATAATTATCTTCCATTCAATATTCGAGCTTCAAGCCTTTTTAGTTTTATTTTGTTCACAGTTCAGTTCAAGGGTTCTTACGCATCCAAGAACTAAAGCTGTTTAGTTTGTTTTATTTTATTTCATTCAAACACTTTTGTGATCAGTACTTAGGGATTAAGTACAGTGGTTAGCTCGAGGGATTCGAGAGATAGAAGTCCACGGGACGTGGCCGGAGAAGTAATTGATAGGATCGTCTGTAGTTGTGGCTAGACTAGAAGGGAGTTCGAGTCATGTAAGTCCAAACTATACAAGTGTTCAACGGTTTATCAATGAAAGAGCTTTGAGGGGAAGTGAGACGCTTCCCTGAAGAGTTTTTACATCTTTGGTTTATTGCTTCCGCTATTTACGCTGTTTATCCACGTTCTTACATCTTTTTGCGCACTCGAGTTAAAAATATATGTTTCAATTGGCAGCAGAGCAGTGTTCCTGTTTTAACTACAGGAAAAAGATCTTTGGGACTGTGTGTTGGCCACAATGAGTCATAATTGGATGTCCGTTTTGCTCCCTCCGTTTCTTGATGGTTCTAACTATGCATACTGGAAGTCCATGATGGTGATCTTCCTTCGATCTCTTGGTAAAGGCACATGGCAGGCTGTTGAGAATGGTTGGACTTTACCCCTCCAAGAAAAAGTTCCTGCTGAAACTAAGGGTGGTGAGACCAAAGTACTGGTTGAAAAACCAAGGAGTATCTGGACTAAGGATGAAAAGCAAGCAGAAGAGGCTAATTTTCGAGCTTTATATGTTATCATGTCTGCTGTAGATCCCACCCGACACAAGATAAGAATTCAGTGCCTACCGCTCAAGAAGCTTGGAGGATCTTGGAAAGACAGTTTGAAGGCACAAACGCGGTTAAAACGTCAAAACTCCAAAGAGTCTCAACTGAGCTCGACGAGATCCGTATGGCAAATTAGTAATATACTAATGTCCATCATATCTTATATTTTAAATTAATACATAATATTTAATTAATTACATACAAATACATGAACAAATCACCCCACACTCCTAAAATCAATTACAATATGTTGTCACCATTATTTGTCACGAATTTGTTTTCTTCCACATATCTCTAAACTGTTTGATAGGATATAAAATAATTTATTATTGTGTGACTTTCAATTATCATTATTTATTATTGTGTGAATTTGCGTTTGATTTTTTTTTTTTTCTGGTCATATTTCAACAATTGGAAAAAATGTCACTGGAATTGTAAGAATTTCAATGGAAGTTCTACTCAAAATCTACCCGCACTTAGGGGTGAGTATGGGTCGGTACGGTTCATAGATTGAGAAATCTCTGAAACCGTACCAAAATTTGGAGATCACGAAATTCGATCTCGGAACCGTACCAAAAATTCGGGACAGTTCGGTTCGAAGAAGGGAAATGAGATAACATTAGCTATGTGAATTAAAAAGACAAATAAATGAGTTGTACGCTGAACTATTATTCAATTAATGCTTGAAAAGGAACCCTATAATGGTAGTACCATATATGTATTCAGTGATTATGAAAATGACTTACTTAATATTTTATCAAAACACTGGAAAAATTTCTAAACTTTTTAATCTAATAATTAATATAAAAAGTATATATTTTTATCAAACATATTAAATTACATTATATCTTATGTGATTATATTAGTTGTACCCTCATGAATAAGATAATTTAATAACATCATTATATTAAACACATGCAAAAAATAACGCGACACATATAAATGTGCTTTAAGTATTAGCAAATAAAATATTATTTGTCTATAATATAATAGTAACACAATGAGAAAGAGAAAACGTGTGAATTGTCTTAGACAGTATGAATGCCAATATTTACAAACAAAAAGTCTTTTAAAGTTACTACTTTTTTGTTGCTAGCGTTTATGTATATGGACTATATATGAAATTGGTTCTCATAAATAATGATCTAATATTATTTATTTTAATTTTAAATAATTAAAAAAATCAAAAAATTTGTAATGCATAATGTACATTTTAATAATTACTCAATAATAATAAACTTTACAAACGACTAAGAGTATCGTAATATAATAGAATTGTAATTCTTCTCTTATCAAATATTTTGAATTTTATAATCTTTTTGTATGATGAATAATGTAGGACAATAAAAGCATTAAAGAAGTTATTAGGCACACAAATATTGCATATTCAAACGAATATGAAAGATATTATAATAAACAATTCTAAAATCATTGCAACAACTATGATGGTCAATGATTTTTAAATAATAGACTATGTTGTTCGTCTATATTCCAAATATATAACATGAAAATAAAATGTCGGAGTATCAAAATAGTTTTGAATGTTTGAATGAAGTTACTACTTTTTATAGAAATATTTATAATCTCATTGGTGTATTGTGCTCGAACATATGTGCAATTACTTTAGAGGTATTTTCAGGTAATGTGTGATGATTTCAAAAAATAATTTAGCACCTCGGGAGAAGTACATGTAACCAAGATTTTAGAACGTGAACTTTTATTTGGAGATAAAATTCATTCCCACCTCGTGGGGCGTTGCATCAACGTGGTAGGCACCAATATGTATAGAGACAGAAAAATGTAGTAATTTATACAATGTTAAAAAGTATCAGCAATTTTAATTTAATGACACGGTTAGTTATTTAATAGAGATATTTATGCATTGTTAGTAGAAATACCTAATTATAAAGATTAACGATCATGAAGCTTAACTATATGTTGGGTCAAAATGTTTCTTAAGTGTTTGAATAAAATTGGCGTTTTGCCAAACGAATTAAGAGAAATTTTGCAATAGTATTGATGTTTTGGATTCCAGCGAGTATGAATGTTTCTTTATGAGAACGTCAAAACCAAATTGAAAGAAAATCTTAGTGTTTTTTTTATTAGGAATTTGTTTTTTATATATTTTTGTAGGGGGTTGTAAAACGTTATTTCACTCTTTTTATATCAGGAAATCATTACATTAATTCTAAATAAAAAAAATCACATATGAGTTCATTTGTTCTATATTATATTTCATTTCTGCAACGATAAGTTTAATAACAAATTAATTTATTTTATAAACTTACCCGGCGACAATCATTCGATACCACGTGCATTGCACGTGCACTTTACTAGTGCATATATATATATATATATATATATATATATATATTAATGCCGGTGTGAGCGTCGTGGCCCGGTTTAGGATGGATTTAACCTCGCCTTTGCCCGTAGAACGTCGGAAACCTGCAAATAACTCTCACACTTGGGTTGTGTCCGGTGAAGAGCCTCAGATGCTTAAGTCAGTATGTGTATGAGTATGCTGGAGTTGAATAATGGAAAATTCGTGTTGAGGAAGAAAGGCTCACCCCCTTTATATAAGGGTGAAATACCTGACCTAAGGCTGCCCAGAATTTGGTGAGCTGGTTGGCCAAGCTGCCCGTCCGTACTTTGACACGTCGCGCACATGTCAGAGGTGGCGTTGGGCATTGTCAGAGGTAGTTGTCTCTATCCACCAATACATTCTCGACACGTGTCCTCTGCACATGGAGTAAATATTCTTCTGACATTCCGTGAGAGGCTCTTACACGCGCCTGTGACTAGGCCGATCCATAAAGTGTTAAGTCCACG